TAACAGCCAGCCAGAAGAAGTTCAGGATCATCAATTTAAACTCACTTTTATCTCATTTGACTCTCTTCTTTTGTATGAACTTCATAGTTTTTCTCATTTCATGGCACAAGCATTATGCATTAACACTCCAACAGGGTAAACTGAACATACATATACCACTGTTTGGACCCGATTTTACACTATTGGTCCGAGTAATCAAGGCCGTTGAATGAACATTATTTTAGACCGCTGAACGACAAAGTGGTTGAAATGATTTTTAATTATTATTAAGAAATAATATTGTGATTTTAATCATGATATTATCTCTTAGTAATATTTTAAATTATCTTAACCTAATATTATTCTAAATCCGGGATATGCACGGCATCAGATAATGAAGCATGCATAACAAGACGATATTATGATGTCACTAGGAAGCTGTTAATGGGGTTGGATTTTGAATTAATTATTATCCATTTTAAATTATGATGATAATTATTAAAAAGTGAACGGGGATCAGGATGCATGCATGGATGGGTGCAAAGGTGATGGAATTTATGATGATGAGATAAGAAGCCTAGGTAGGCTAGGCTATGATGGTGAGATACGAAGCCTAAGTAGGCTAGGCTGTGATGATGAGACAAGAAGGCTTTTGGTGGATAGGCTTTCATTTTGTCAAAAAGTCATGGGTAGCCATCTGGAAGATAGGCTTTAGCCTATGCCACAGATCAGTATTTCAGTTCCGCAAGTTAGAGTTGCAGTTAGACTCTACAAAAGTATCTGGTCGAAAAAAAAAAAGTATCCAGCCGTGCTAAGCAGAAGATATGAATGCTATAAATACAAGGTGCGTTGCATCATTTAGACCATCTCCAATTCAACACACAAATTGCCCTGCGCAAACTCTCGCTCTACGTGAAATCTCTCAACAGCCTTGAGATTTTTCTTTTTCTTTTTCCCTAACACATCACCTTTTTCACCAACACATCTTCAGTTTGGACAAACAGCACTGTGAAGGCAACCAGTAAACATCTTCAGTTTGGATAAACAGCATTATAGAGTTTAGATAAACAGCATTGTAGCCGTAGAACCATTCGACCGCGAAGCACCTTCAGTTTAGATAAACAGCACTGCTCCAAGACCGACTTGTTACTTATCCAAGTCTCGGTCAAGAAGGATTTTCGAGTCCTTATTGGCAGAGGTCATCTCATCAGCCTTCTCGACAAAATGAGGTGTTACCAGGTTACTACATTCGGCACCCTGAGTGCCGAATTTGATATTGAACTTCACAGAACTATCAGCCTTGTCTTTAGGCTCTAGAACCCGAAGGCCGAGACGTTTTCATTTCTCGGCCGCAATCGCGAGATTCAAAAGTCAACAGTGAGCCCAACGTAACATTAATACATTTTCCCCGATCGAGCTCGGCCAACAAGTTGGCACGCCACGCACACAACCGAATGACGTAGTTAGTTTATTAATTACTAGGCATGCGCACCACATAGGCTTGGTAATTCGTCAGACATACTAACAGGCAACTCGCTGGGCACATTTGATCTGTCGTCAGTAGAAATAGTTTCGGGAATGACAGGTGACCAATCACTATCTGTAGCCAACTGATCAGTATCACGCAACATAATAGGTTATGTTTCCAACTCTGCCTGTAACACATCATCCATACCATCTCTTTGAATCTGCACTTCACTCCCTCTCTCCTCCTGAAATAGAGAGTCGGAAGAGAGCTTCACAAAATACGAAACTTCCTCATGGAAGGTGACATCCATGGTAATATAAGTTTTTTTAGTCGGAGGATAATAACATTTATAACCTTTTTTATTGTTAGCATACCCAATAAAGACACATCGGAGAGCACAAACATCAAGTTTACTCCATTGATGAGAGTAGACATGTACATACGCAATACCACAAACACTTTCGGATGAAGCTTTGATACAAAAACAAGATAAACATGTTTTTGTAGCACATCAAGCGTGTTTGAAAATCAAGAACTCTACTTGGAACACGATTGATCAAATACATATCAGTCAAAACAGCATAATCCCACAAATGATTAGGAACACATTTATCCAACATCAAGGAGCGAGAAACCTCCATTATTTGACTATTCTTCTGTTCGGACACACCATTTTGTTGTGGTGTAAACGGAGTAGTCGTCTGGTGAATAATATCATGATCACGAAAAAAACATGTCAAAGTGTGATTCACATATTCTCCTCTGTTATCAGACCTGAAGACCTTAACCTTGGTTTGAAACTGAGTAAACACCATTGTACAAAATTTTTGAAGAAGTAACGAAACATCACTCTTATTCTTCATCAAGAACACCCAAGTTAACCGAGTACAATCATCAATAAAAGTAACAAACCAACGGAATCCATTAGAAGTAACTTTCGCTGGACCCCACACATCAGAATGTATCAAATCAAATGGAAAAGTAACTTTAGAATCACTTACGGGAAAGGAAGCACGATGACTCTTAGTCATGCCACATGTTTCACACTTGAACTTTGAATCACTACAAATGCGAAACAAAGAAGGAAATAGATGTTTCATATAACTGAATGATGGGTGTCCCAATCGTCGATGCCACAACCAAATTTGATGTCTATCGTCCACTTTAGCACTTAAAACTTGATGATTATTTGAACCGGAAACAATAATATCCTTTATAGTCAAGATGTACAAACTTCCTATTCTTTTACCACGACCAATTATCTTCTGAGTTTGAATGTCTTGAAAATAACAATATGTAGGGTAGAAGTGAGCTGAACAATATAAAGTATCAAGAAGTTTTCCTACCGACAAAAGATTGCACTTAACATCGGGAACAAGTAAAGCACGAATCAGTGATAAGGTTAGAGTTAGAGGGATAGTACCTTCACCCTTCACATGGGAAGGTGCTCCATTTGCACTAGTAATATACGGATTTCAAACATAATCACATAACTCATCAAACACTCTAGGGTCACTAGTCACATGATCAGTGGCTCCAGTATCAATTATCCATTTATTTGTTCCACAAGATGCATAACAACACTATGATTATATTGAGTCATTGAACAAAATCACGAACAATAAAGGCACAAAAGATACGTAGCGGAATGAAAACAATTTATCAGAGCAACTTAGCAATCACTGTTCACGTACTGTAGAAGAGACTATTCATGGACTGTAGCAATCACTGTTTAAGACACTGTAGAGGATCACTGTTCATGCATTGTAGCTAACGTTATACTGTAGCGCGATACTATTCACTTTTCTTTTTTTTTCAACGAAGGAAATCACGAAAAATGTGGGCACAAAATTAAAGGACACAGGTCACCAAGAGCGAAGTGCTCTGATATCATATCAAACTAAACATGGTAAATACCAAAAATATATATATGACAATATTTGAGAATTTCTTATATATTCATTAATCTCCAAAGTGGAGTATATATAGGAGTTACAATTAGTATTACATATATACTTCACCAATGTGGGACAATAAACTACTATTTACACTTTAACTAATATATAACTCGCAACAGTTTTTAGGGTCAACAACCACATATAAATCTTGAAGCATTCTACGACGGTGAAAATGGAAAGGAAAATAAAAAGGAAAATTTTGAAACTTCCATGTAACAGTTGTATACATTTATATGTCTATCTCTTGAGAAAAACTTGCATAAATCCGTGTAAATGTGATTGGATTCCATTTGTGTGAGATGTGGATCAGTAGATTTTTTCTCTACTGATATGAACTTGATCAAAAGAGAAAGGATTCCTTAATATCCTAGTGCTTAAGATAAACACCCACCCTAACCCTGGTCCACAGCAAGAGAGAGATACAACCATGCCATCTCCTTTCATTAGTTTCTATCACTTCACAAGTCAAAAGACTTGGATTTTCATCATCAAACTTTACATAAAGGAAATTGGAAGCTCAAGTGCCACAGAAATGTTTTTTTCTCCTTGTCACAAATTATCTATAAAGATAAATGTTCCATATATATATATATATATAGAGAGAGAGAGAGAGAGAGAGAGAGAGAGAGAGGTTTTCTTGCCAGACTGAAGATGAACACTTTTGACATGTTATGAAAACAGACAATTAATCATGTCGATTCTTGGTTTAACGTACAATCAAAATTCAAAGTCTGACAATACAAGAATATTTCTAGCAACAGATATGCGTATAAAATACGCAAAGAAATATCGTTATATAACTAATTCATCTGAATGTGGACATTGTAAGGCAGCAAATTCATGCACAGAATGTGCTCAGTCCATTTTGGTTGTTAAAAGGCAGATGAGTGTAGCATCTGCTTTTGGAATCACCATCCTTTTGAATAACCGTGTCCAATGAGAACATATCTGTTTCGATAAATGCTACAAAGCTATTGTTGTCAATTTTTCTATTGGAGGATGGTGGTTCCCCAACTTTTACAAGATATCCCTCTCAGATTAAGTAAGGGCCACAAAGCCAGTTTATCAGTACTGAGGGTTCTGCTCATAAGGAAAATTAATAAATATGGCAGAAACATTTGAAAGAGAGAGCCATTAATTAGTTCAAGAGAAACTTACGGATCTTGAATTATGATGAACAAGCCAGCTTTCTGATAACTGCAGCAAATTGAAGATAAAACTGGTAGGGCGTAGACGAAAAGTAGTGGTCAAGAAAATTCAATTAATTCGAAAAAACAATTGCTATACATAAGCAGAAATTTACCATGAATTGTGAATGCGGATGACCAAAGCTGAACACATCCTTGATAAACATGAGTAAAGGCAGGAGAATATCCGGGAGCAAGTAATCACAATTACGGAAACTATTTATAGTCAGGGGATTAAGAGAAACTGAGACTTCAGGTATAAAAAACATGAAAGTATGTGTAGTTATAAGGCATAGATTCACATAACTCCTAAAGTGAATCTGTACAACCAGTCAACATAACATCATGTAACTGAAGCTCTCGGTCGCTCCAGACTATGTAGAAATTAAGGGATCTTGAAATGCAAAATGTGAGAGAAATCAATATCATACTTTTCCTACGACATAGAAGCGTACTTCATGCTCATAGAAAGGTGCTTCTGTTGTCACCTTGTTACACTGAGTTCATCATGTATGTACAACGAAATGAAATCAATTAAAAATCTAAGAAAACAAAATTAACGCATTTCAGGAGAAAAGAGGACGGAATTTTGTAATGCTTATTTCAGGTAGAAGCGGCCAACATGGCCGTTGTATACATATTACATCAGTATAACATAGTACCAAATGAGTTCTTTTTATAAGAAACCAAAGACCCCAACTATAGACTAGCAATAGTGTTGCTTTTCAGGTATACCTTTCCATATTGGGATGCTAATGGAACCTCAGCTGAGTTGCTGAGTTCCATAGGATGGAAATGCAACAAGGATGGTCATTGTTTCCCGCTCTCAAATCCTATACCGTCAAGGCATGACACAACTTCTTCAATAAAGGGCCTCTGCCTCGGATTGGGATCCAGGCATTTACAGGCAACACCAAGAACATCTAAAAGTTGCTTCTCATGATTCTTATTCCAAATTGACGAATCTATAATCTCTTCATCTCTCTTCTCAAATCTCATCTGAAACATCCACGATACCAAATCTCTGCAGTTTTTTCCTCTGCATACTTCTACAGGCCTCCTACCAGTAAGAAGCTCAAGAAGAACAACACCAAAACTGTAAACATCGCCCCTGCAGGTTGCTGTTAATGTCTGACTGTACTCTGGAGGAATATAACCCAAAGTCCCAACCAGATCTGTTGTAACATGGGTATCGTAAGGACGAAGTAACCTTGAAAGACCAAAATCAGCCAAGTGAGCTTCAAATTTTTCATCTAGAAGAATGTTGCTTGTTTTTATATCTCGATGCACTATATTTGGCTGACAACCCTTGTGCAAGTAGGCTAGCCCACGAGCCGCACCTTGAGCTATCTTAAGTCTTACATCCCATTTTAGAAGCGAAACACCATCAACACTTTCATGCAGCCAATAATCCAAGCTTCCGTTCTCCATGTAGGAGTAGATTAACAGTCTGTCATTACCATGCCGGCAGTAACCTTGAAGAGAGACAAGGTTCTTGTGCTGAGCTCTTGAGAGGGCTTCCACTTCAGCTTGAAATTCACGTTCCATCTGTCCACAATCCCCAGAAAGTCTCTTGATTGCAGCTTTTGCTCCATTCGGTAGGTTGGCTTTGTAAACCAGTCCATAACCACCACAACCAATTATGTTGGCTTGGTTGAAATTGTTTGTAGACTTTAACAAGTCTGACACTGTAAAATCCTTACAGTCTGAATTTTGGAACAGCACCAGTTTTGACGATGCAAGGGCTCCGGATATCCTGTGCGGCCTGCTGTCCTCATCAAAATCATCAATTTGATCCTTTGCTCCCCTCCTTGACATTTTAAGCAAACCAACTGCAAGAAGCAATGCAACCCCAACTCCTATGCTGATTACTACACAAAGGATGCTGTTTCGACCAAATCTACTGTTTGAACTGGATGGAGTTACAGGCTTGAGACTTGTACTGCTGATATCACCACATGGAGTGTACATTGCCCCACAAAGCCCCGAGTTACCGTCAAAACTTGAGCTGGGAAAGCTTAAGAACTGTCCTCCATTGGGAATCACTCCATGGAGGTGATTATTTGCCACGCTAAACTTTGACAAGAATGTGAGCTTGCTAAGTGATGGAGGGATCGAACCATAGAGATCATTGAATGATAAATCCAATGCTTCCAAGTTCTCCATCTCCGAGATGGAGCTTGGGATGGTCCCACTAATGTTGTTCCGGCTCCAATCCAAAACATGGAGCTGCTTCAATCGTCCGATCTCAGGCCACATTGCTCCATTTATTCTGTTATTGCTCAAGAGTATTGACGGAGGAAAATTTGAGACCTGGTTGTACTGCAGGCCAGTAGCACTCCTATTCCGTTTTACAAATAACGGGATGCCAGCAGAAGCAATAAGGTTTGCATGAGTGCAATTTGTAGATATGAGGCTTTTCAGCTCTGTCATACTTTTTGGGATTTCTCCCGAGAGTGAATTATTTGAAAAGTCCAAATAAAACAAGTTTTCCATCTGACCTATCCACAAAGGGATGGGACCATCCAAGCGATTCCAAGATAAATCAAGGACTTGCAACTTCCTGCAACTCAATAACCAAACTGGAATTTGGCCTTTGAGAGCACAATTCCCGAGTGCTAAAACCATTAAGCTTTCAAACCCACTTGCATTTTTCGGAATCTCCTCACCAAAGAAATTTTTTGAAAGAATTAGAGTTGTGAGATTTTTGCATTGCTGCAGCACAGATAGTGTCTCAGATAAGTTCACAAAACTGTTATTCGACAATGAGAGGAAGAATAGGGATGTGAGTTTGGCAAAGTCTTCCGGAATTGAACCCCTTAATTTATTCCTAGCAAGGCTTAACGTTTTCAACTCACGACAATTAGAAAGTGAATTTGGAAGGAAACCAGAAAAATGATTAGTGGCAAGATCAAGTGTGCAGAGTTTTGGAAGTCCAGTGAAATTTAGATCAATGGAACCGGATAGAGAATTGTTTCGAAGGTCAAGCACTCGAAGATTTGAACAGAGTGCCAAGGTTGAAGCTAATGGGCCAGACAACATATTTGAATGTGCAACTAACTGTTCTAGTCGTCTAAGGTTCCCAAACACATTTGGAAGTTCACCCAAAAATTGGTTTGAAGAAATGACTAAGGTCTTGAGGCTAGAAAGCTTACTCAGTTCCTTGCTTATCTGGCCGGAAAGAGAGTTCCCAGAGACTGAAAGCTGCTCCAAAGCCGAATACGTATACAAAGATTCAGGTAGATAGCCTGAAAATGAATTGAAGTCCAGGTGCAATTGTTGGAGAGACCTGCTGCAATTGTCTAAGCCTTCAAGACTTCCCACCAAACGGTTCCAAGACATATCTAGAATGTGGGTTTCATTGGAAGAGCTACAAATCCGAGGGTTGAACTGACCAGTGAATGAATTATTGCTTATGTTGAACACAACAAGATGTGAGAATCCTCCTCCAAGCTCAGACAAATCATCATGGATTGAATTGCTTGAAATATTCAGAACTCTGATCGAATTCAAACCGGAAAGCGCACCTGAAACTGGTCCGGACAGCATGTTATTGCTCAAGTCAAGAACCTCCAGGTGCTTCAAGTCTGAGAGCTCTGCAGGCAATCCACCTTCAAGATGATTCAGAGAAAGATTAAGCAACTTCAGCTGATCCAATCGACCCAAAGAGCGTGAAATCGTTCCACTGAGACTCATGCTGGGAAGAATCAACTGTGTGACTCTACTAGCAACAACTGTCCCATTGTTCACATTCCCACAGACAACACCATCCCATTGGCAGCAAGTTGATGTGTTGTGCCATGCTGTGATCATAGACCCATTTGTGAGGTTTCCTGCAAACTCCCTCAATGCAAGAAAATCATTTGGATAACAGGATTGGGTTGGGGAATTAAGACCGAAAACTGAACCAATACAGCAGGCCAAGAGAACCCATTTGAGGAATGCCATTGGAGTAACCCCAATACCTCCATTGATGAAACCAAAGAAAATCCCCCCAACTCAATTCAACACCAACACTCCCATAAGAAATTCAAACGAAGAAACTTTCAGCACTCAAATCCCAAAAGACCTTAACTTCAACAACCCAGCTTTGCAACTTCAAGTGAAGCAAAACTTCCAAGTAATTCAGTAAAACAAGTGCAATCACCAATGCCCACTTGGGAATTGAGATCCCAAGACCACAAATATGGAAGTGCAGAAAGTTGCTTCAATCTGAATACACACAAACAGAAAAAGAAAAGAACTTGATAAATACTCACATCCCAAAGCAGCTCATTAAACTAACAACTTGCAAGTGAAGCAATGAAAACTTACCTCTTAAAAAATCAGCAAAGAGTCAAAGACCCACTGACCAGAAATCAGCAAACCCAAGAGCAAAAACCCCTTATTTTGCTGCAGAAGCAAGCATCCTCCTTCTTCTCCTTCACACCAAAAGAGAAATACCCAATTGCTGAAATTTCAAACCCACAACCCAAAACCATCAAAAAAACCACAAAAACAAAGAGTAAAGAAAAGGAATCATAAAAGGAGGAAGCTTTTATGGCCTACCTGAAACCTTGAACTCTGAATTCTCAAAGCCTACAGTGAAATGTGAAGAAAATAAAAAAGGTTCAGAATTTCACAAGCACTGGCATGCCTTTATGCAACCTAACATCTAACAGTGCGTGAGTGTGAGTGAGTGGCTACTTTTTCCACAAATGGGACTCCTCCAATTTCAAAACCCTCCCCCAAATTTTTGATTAAAAAAAAACAAAAAAACAAAAGAGAGAATAAAAAAAGGAAAGAAAAAAGCAGGGAGATAATTCAAATCAAATAAACAGTAGCGCAGAACAGAAAAGGAAACTTCTTTCTCTTTCTTGAGAATCTTTATTTTATTGGACAAACACAAATCCACTTTGGATGGTTTCGACCAAAGAAAGATGAGGGTTAAGGGCTGGTTTGGTATTGCTGTGTTTTGAAAAAAAGCTGCTGTGAGAATAAGCGGCTGTGCTGTCAGAATAAGCGGCTGTGAAATAAATCAGCAGAGTGTTTGGTAAACTTTTTTGTAAAAGTGCTTTTAGAAAAAAAAAGCAGTCTGATAGTGGATCTTTTCATTAAAGGAGCACTGTAGTTCTATGTGCTTTGAAAAAAAGCCAGTTTTCCAAAGCTACAAATTGCAGCTTCAGCTTTTTCCTTTGATTTCAGCTTATTCTCACAGCAGCTTCCAAAATAAGCCATTTTTTTTAAGTTTACCAAACACCAAAAACACTCCTAGCTTTTTTTCATAGGAGCTTTTTTTAAAATCACCTCAACCCCAAACTGGGGCTAAGTGGACTCTCTTAAATGTAATATTTTACATTTTTGTATTACATTTGTGCATCGTTTAATGCAAAAAGCAATGTGTGTATGTCATGTTAATTAACGACTTTATTTTATTAAAAGTTGATTGTATATATCACTTATTACATAAAATAGTATATCAATATTATACACGTAATATATGGATAATACTTAGGTACTCAATAGTGAGTATTCACCTTTTAATTTTACCCGATGATATTGTAACACATGTTTTATGATTTTAAGAAAATAAACATGTAATTAGATTTTCTTGAACTTAACAAAACAAAGAACACTTGACATTTCCTGTTTGAGCCAAATCAGAAAATGAGTACATAGAATATTCACTAGTGATATCTAAGTATTGTCTCTACTATATTATTTCGTATATCATAATAAACATGTACAACATAGATAATTTCTTCTAAAACTTTTGTATTGAAAATAAGTAACGCTACGTGACTGTGTCAAAATATCATAAAAAATCGCATATTTTAGATTTGAAACGGGGGACTCATTTCTCAAAGAGCTGACTTTTTTTTGTTCTCATGGCCAAATTTTTCTTGGATGTTTTCGGAGTTTGCTGAAGTCACACTCTTTGTCAATACCCCGATACCAACATCTGTCTCTTTCTTTCCCTCTTTGTTTCGTGGTGGGGCCCGGTTTGGTGAGGTTGGGCAATGTTTGGGTGCGGTCTAACGAGGATCCCTACTCTCAGTTTCACGCTCGCTTGACTTGCGTTGGAAGCACTTTCGTTAGTTTTGTCTGTGACAAGGTGTGGGAGGATTGTGCTGCGTGGTAAACACGCGTTGTAGTTGAGGGTGGTGGATGAGAGCGGTGAGAGTGGACAGTCAAAGTGATTAGATCGGAGGAGATTTGATGGGAGGCGGTGGATGGAGCGGCGCTAGGCGGACGTCACGGGTTTAGGTTTAACGGATTAGCCGTGATCCGGAAATATGTCAAGTTTTTGCCTGGGCCACCGGATTTTCGGGTCAACTACTCAACCTTCCACGTGAAATTACCCAACACATGTTTTATTTTTCTACTTACCATTTTTACAAATTTATTTTTAAAGAAATTAAAACCCAAATTCTTTGTTTGGGTTTTGTTTGGTTTTGCCATCTGATTTTTTATTTAGCTTTGAGGAGTTTAAATTTTCGATTCATGTCAATACATTCATGCACTACATATGAGCAAATTCGAGAGCATATACATCAACAAAATGTTACGTTCAGAAGAAAATTTAGTACCTGAATTCTAATAATTGATTTATGAAAAACAGTAAGAGGGATAAAGAAAGATAGTATGACGGAGGAAAATAAATAAAAACTATCATTCATCCACAATCCTTATTGTGACTTTCTCCTTCTACATCTCTCACACTATCTTTCCTCCACCCTTGTATAAAAAATTTGAAAAAATGTCATATGAGGTTATATACCTATTTTAATTCGTTATATAAACTAAAATTTTAAGTGATTTGTCATACCAACTTTTCGAAATCAATAATTTGTTATCTCACCCTAACTTTTTTAAGTTTTCCATCCAAAATAAGTTGCACAAGACTTGTGTTCAGGATTATTTTGATCATTTCAACACTCACTTCCCTTCTAATAAGTTTTCTTCGACAAATAATTATAGGGCTTCTAAAAAAATACAAAAGAATGGTTGATCTTGTATACGATGATCTAAGAGTTATCCGTTTGAAAAAGGGGAACGACATGTACTCATTTATCTATGTTTTGAAGTGAAGATGACTCAAAATATTGTCACTGGTGACCCTCCAATTTATGGTAAAGTTGGATGATATTCTTTATGTTGAAATGTTCGAAATAACCCTGAATACAAGTTATATGCAAGACACATGACTTATTTTGAATAGAAAATTTAACAGAGTTAAGATAAGATGATAATTTAATAATTTGGAAAAGTTAGTATAACAAATTGTTTTGAATTTGAATTCATATAACAAATTAAAGAAATATATAAGTTCATATAATATTCAACAATTTCTTTGTTTAAACTAAAAACAAAAGGATTATTACTCAATCTCAAATGAACAAGAAAATATAAATTGTGTGATTTGATAAATAAATTTTCGTTTTGTGATCCTATCATGAATTAGTAAGCGAGGTAGGTGTACTATCAATCACATCATGTCACGAGTAATTCAACAAATACATCAAAAGGTGTGCGTTTAGTTGAAAAGAACTTGATCCAAAAACTAAAACCAATACAATTATATATGACACCTTCATGCTTTGTTTTCTTTGTTAGGTGGGTAATAACAACTTATGTCAAAACATGTTTTCTTCTTGTAAAACAATCATGGGGTTGAAGTATGCAATTCAAATTTTACCTAATACAGACGTAGGGTCATATTTAAAGTAGTTAAAGTTTTGATTGCAATATATAACATATAACTAAAGAAATGTAAAATATCATACAAGATACTACAAAGAATATCTAACCACTAAGGTCATCTCCAATCGAAAGCTGGTTAGATGGTTCGTTTTAGCTCTCTGGCCTCCAAGAAATTAATAATTTAATGAATAGTGCAGGACCATATTTCTTACCATCTCCAACCGATGGCCAAAGGGTTATGGAGCTCGTTTTAGCCATGTCACAAAAAACCGTCTTCAACCAAGGGCCAAAAGGTCATCAGGCCAAAGGGTCATTAGGCCAAAGGGTCATCAGGCCAAACATAATTTATTATTTAAATTTAGAAACTACAACTACAAGAAATTAAATGTAATATAATTAAATATTTAAAATAAATTATGAAAGGAACATGCTTATGAAGGGAACTACAACTACACCCATTATAATTGTCCCACATCGGGCGTGGGAGATGAATGAGCAAGGAAACATGCTTATAAAATGAACACCCAAACTTGGACCAAATCACCTTTCTCGGCCCAAAAAATCTAAAACCATAATTAAATATTTTTTAGAAAATTTTGGCCCAAAAAAAAAACTGTAAAAAAAAAAACCGTAAAATAAATATGACGTCATCATGATGTCAGCCTGTGGCTTGGCCCGGGGTTGGCTTGCTGGTTTGGGCCAGCTGGTTGGCTCTTTTTTGTCTAGTGGGGCCTACGAGCCCTTTGGTCTGGCCTTCGGTAGGAGATGGCCTAATGAATGGCTCGTTTAGAAATGCTTGTTTGAAAGTAATTTTAAAATAAATGAAAGTGTTTTTTGTGAAAATATTTTTAGAACCAATTCTTAGTAAAAAAAATAAGTGAGTTCTGAAAAAAAACACTTGAAGTACTTTTTGGAAGAAGTGCATAATCGGCGCTTCTTCTAGAAAGAAAGCACTTCAGGTGCTTTTAAGACCCAAAAATATTTTTTTCCAAAATAATTTTCAGTCATTTTTAAAATACTTCCAAATGAACCCAAATTTGACTGCTGATTTAAAGAAGAAAAAAAAAACTCTGTCAAAAAATTGACAAAAAATCTTTCAACCACTAAAATTTGACTTTTAACGTTCAACCATATTTAATTTCATATCACCACTCCGTTCTTTATCCGAACATGTCGATGAAAGTCAAAGATTTTTTCAATATTTTTGGGGCACGGTTGGTAAAAGCTATAGCTAGTAAAGTTGTAAGTTGACATGGGTGAAAATTTTATTATGTTATTTTGGCAGTTCACAAATTTCTTTTCTCCTTGTGTTGATGTGTTCATAACTTTTGGTAAGTCTTGATGATTAAGCCTCGCAACTCACAAGTAAAGGCTTACACAAATCAAGGATTCATCCTTAAATTGATGACATTTTCCCACGATAGAAAACATCATGATAGCTTATTGATGGGATTTGCCTTTCAAGTAGTGGGATGGAAAAGGTTAACGCACTTTCAATCTGCATGCATATTTTCTTTTATTAAGAGGTGATGCTATCCGTACACCAGTTTTTATTTTTCATACACATTTTGATATTTTGCTTTTGAATTGAATGAAATGAAAATGATTTAAGGACAAAAATTAATAGTGCGAAGGATTAAAAAAAAAAGTATGAATAGCACTACTTTTTTGTTAATATTTATTTTTGCCTGTCCTTTGGCTAGTGGATTGAGTAATTGAGTTGAGTGCCCACTTATTTTTTAAGTTGAGCGTTGTGTATTGTCACTATCGTTTATAATATTTGAATTCAGAATTTCTTCAAAGTTTAGGGTTTTTAAAAAAGTCTTCTTCTTAGTAACATCCTCTCACCGAGTAATTGATATTCTCGTTCGCACTCTTCTTCTTTGTTGCTGTTTGATTGTCAATATCCATATGAAGAAATTAGGTTTTCGAATATGCATGGTATACCCTTCAAAGCTGGCAATAAGGTAATGAAAATGGATGAAATGTGTTGAAGTTTGGAACCCATTTGCTTTGACTGAAATGTTCCTCAAAAGTTTTGTCATTAGTCATTACTGTCACAATTTTGTTCTCATTAAACACATATGAAAAATTAGATTTTTAATTTTATTATATAAAAATTATACCGGGGAGGAGAAATAGAACATAGGATCTCAAGGGCATAAATAAGTACTCTTAGGTCATTTCCAATCGAAATGACTAAATACAATCTCGTCCATAATTATAGCCTTACAAAAATGTATTTTTATTAGTTTTAAGTTTATTCTTTAAATTTATTGGTTAATTTAATTAAACTACTATTAGATGTTTTCAAATCTAGCCGTTGAATTAGAATTATTTATTACAACTAAGGAGCTAACCCCCAAAAAAGGTCTAAGAGAAGGGTTAAATTTGGTCAGCATGATGCCCTTTTGACCAAATAATAGTCTTATGGGCTCCATAGAATTATAGTCTAGCCATCGGGTTGGAAATGAATTTTCAGCAAATCAAGTTAATTTTTTGGCTTTACATTTTTAACCCTCTCTATTGGAGATGACCTTAAAGCTTTTACTACAAGCCCTTTACCAAAAAATAAAAAATAAAATAAAATAAAATAAAAAACCGGTTGGAAAAACATAAAGTTGTGTGTTTCACCATCTACATCCAAGTTTGGCTAAAACAGTGTGTTTCACTATATGCACTCAAGTTTTTCTAAAATAGTGTGTTTCACTATCTTTACCTGAGTTTGAATCTCTTTTTTTTCATCCTAATTTAGATGAATTACTATAATTATCCAAAGGTTTCTTAAAAAATAATTTTTGTTAGTCATAATTTGAAAAGTAAACACAAAAAATAAGACTAGGTAAGAAGGCCCAAAGCCCAGATATTAGGGCTTTGTTCCGTCTGGACAACCCGTTTTACAATTGATAGTTTGTCCTGACTGGACTCAAGAGACCAACAATGAAGATACTACTAGCACGCACTTATCCAGCGCGTGAGGGACACCGCAAGGCTTATCCAGTCGTCCTGTCGAACCCATTTGTACGGGCGCAGTGACATTGCAGAGAGTTCAGCGTTGAGTTAATGGCGGAGATCAAGAAATTTAAGACAATCGGAGTGGTGGGCAGCGGCCAAATGGGCTCAGGAATAGCCCAACTAGCCGCCACGTATGGCTTCGACGTTTGGCTCCTTGACACCGACCCGGAGGCTCTCTCAAGAGCCACCAAGTCCATCTCTAGCTCCATCCAGCGCCTAGTTTCCAAAGGGCAGCTCAGCCAGGTTGCTCTCTCTCTTTCTCTACTTTCTAATTTGGTTACCAATAAATATGATAAGAGGGAAGAAAATGGAACAAAAAGATTGAATTTTTTGGTTCTTTATGTTGATGTGGATATTTGTACTTTGTTAACTGGATAATCATATGCATTAAACTAACTGTAGTTGCAAGCTAATTGAGTTATTAAATTTAATAGTTCGTGGGGTGTGAGGTTCCTTGAATTTAAAGTTTGTAACATGCTATAATAGGTGATTTCTTCTCATTGATCATTAATTTCATCTCGTTTACCGGTTGAAGGTGGTGCCTTCTTCAAGCCAATCAGTCTTTGTTTTATGTAACTTTGTAGAAACCCTACCTGACTTTCTCAGGGCTTTAACAAAGTAGATTATGCATGCTTGGAACTGCTTCTTAGCAATATTTCAAGCTGCTCTTAAGCTTTAGTTTTATGACAGACTTACGGAGTTATTGCCATATTGGTGAAGAAAAACTATAGTTACATTCAATATTTTGCTCACAATACATGTATAGAATTAAAGGAAAACTAATGAAAAGGATTTGAAAACTTTGAGTTTTAATGATAAGGACAAAATAAAAGGTAAAATGAATAGTACCAGAATTGACTTTTTAGCGTAAAAATATGGTTTTTGTTAAAGTGAACAATACCGGGTGCTTTTCGTTAAAGTTCCCTAGAATTAAAGGAAATCATACACATGTTAACACAGATACACTCGCAATGGAGGGCCGTACCACGAGAATGGTTTTTCTTTTGAGATACCCTTATATTTTAATGGTACACTACATCCTACGTAGCCATTTGGAAAGGATATCTTAGTATTTATCCTTGAGGTAAAACTAAGATGGCGATGATGGCAACTTTATGCATTTGAGCTTGGAAAGCTCTTGGCACACTACTAGTTCAAAGTAAAAACCACTAATTGGAACCATTTTGGGGGAGAAATTCAAAGTTTCCATTATATAAATTAGAGTTTATTTCCCTAATAGGAGTTGGAGGGTTTACACCCATCTCCTTCCAAACTCAGAATTGATAAAATGTGAGAACATAAATGTTCTTCTTGTTTAAGGTTTCGTTGGTTTCTGTACCCTGTTGCGATTTGTTTCCTCCCGGTTTGTGGATTCATGCAAGTTATGCCTGTTCAATTATTGATGTTTTGACAAAGCATTTGTTTTCCATTTAACAGGATGTAAGAAAAGATGCTTTAGAGCGTCTACAATATACGTCAAATGTTGAAAATTTTTGTTCGGCAGATATTATTATTGAAGCTATTGTGGAATCTGAAGATGTGAAGAAAAAGTTATTTCTTCAACTAGATAAGATTGCAAAACGTTCGGCCATACTGGCTTCTAATACAAGTTCCATCTCCATTACTCGTCTTGCATCAGCAACTAGCAGACCACACCAGGTTATGCTTCTTCTTCTTATTCTGAGATTATGCTTATGATATGTTCAGAGAATAATGTGTGAACTGAGAACAAGTTGTGAAAGTTTTTTTCTTTTTAGTTCTTTGTTTTCTAATTTCTCGTGTTGATTAACCATCAACCAAAATATGTGACGTTAGAAATCTGATCGTGTCAAATTAACACTGTGATCTGCAGGTGATTGGCATGCATTTTATGAATCCTCCTCCTATAATGAAGCTTGTTGAGATTGTGCGAGGAGCAGACACATCAGATGAGACATTTGATATCACAAAAGCCTTGGCAGAGAGGTTAAGGGCTTGGATATGTTGAATTGCTTAATGAATGAAATCTTCCTTTTGTTTCCCGGCATATTCCTTTCACAATTATACTAAGTTACATTTCCCACTCATATACCCAAATAAATCCTCTGCCATCTCTTTAACTGTTGGCTGTTGACTTTGCAGGTTTGGCAAGACCGTAATATGCTCTCGAGATTATGCCGGGTTTGTTGTGAACAGGATCCTAATGCCGATGATAAATGAAGCATTTTATGCACTTTACACAGGTGTGGCGACCAAAGAAGACATTGATGCAGGAATGAAGCTGGGAACAAATCATCCAATGGGTCCTCTTGAGCTTGCAGATTTTATTGGATTGGATATCTGCTTGTCTATTCTGAGAGTTCTTCATGCTGGCCTTGGGGACAATAAATACGCTCCGTGCCCCATTCTTGTACAGTACGTTGATGCAGGTCGCCTTGGAAGAAAACGAGGTATTGGGGTATACGACTACCGTCAAACGCCTGAATCAGTAAAACCTTCATCTAAACTTTGAACCTGTGGCGTTTCGAGGATAGCTTACTGCGGAAAGAGATCCTTTCCGGATCTCTTCCACCAAGGCCACCGAATCAAGTGATCCGGACCTTCCAAATTTCATCTAACGTCCCACCTGTTTTGACCCCTTAAAAGTTGTGATAATATTTGGCCGTTGGATGAAATTTGGTGGAAGAGATCCGTTACTGCCATCATCTATAAAGTGGTTGTGGATTGTTTTACAATTTTCTAATAATGATTGAAAAGTAGTACCTTCTTTTTCCAATCAAAACGTAAACCACATGTAATTCCCTGGATTACTGCATTTTGCTTCTCGTTTGTTTTAGTTGTTTTGAACTTTTTATGAAGTGTAAAAGTAACAGTGATAGGTAATACTAATATGCACTCTATTTTAACTAGACAATGTACTGCAAAAGGGATTTAGATCCTCACCGGATCCCATTCCTGGGGATCCATCAACGAACACAGACCGTTGATAAAAAATCGTGTGGTCTTAATTAAATGTTTTTTATATTTTTAAAAGTAAAGCATCATCGTTTTGCGTGAAAAAAAAATAAAATAAAATTGTGACCGCATGATTTTTAATCAACGGTCCATGTTCGTTGATCCCTAAGATTCCTAGAGAGGGGATCTGGCAAGGATCAAACTCCCTGCAAAAGAAGTTAAAATCCATCAGTACATTGTTGTTGCAAATCACACGGAACTTGTAACTGAAGTGGTTAACCGCATTCACTCATGCACCCGTAGTCCAGCTTTGGATTCATTATGCTCTAACACCAATGGAGAATAGTTCTTTCCCCAAGTGGGTTGGAACTCACATGGCTCCCTCACTTTTTACCCGGAAGCACTGGAGCCAAATGGGGGATATTGTCGAGCAAAATACGATAACTCTATGGCTATAGGCTAGCTTGCATTATTTGTTTGTCAAACATCATTAGTTGTTGATTAACATTAGCAAATAATTAGTGTTGTAAAACATGTTTGCATTTAGTGCTTGCCAGCTCACTGATAGACCTGAGTGTGAAAAAGAAAACAAGAGTACTTGCTCTTGCTCAGTATGCATGGTTCATCATGACCCCACAAGGGACAGCCTTTTCAGAGAAGGGGAATGTTACTTACTTTTTCACTTGCATTTTTTCTTTTAACTATTTTGGTTGTTTTTTTATTCTGCAATGATATTTGATAATTTGAAATGTTATGATTTTTAGGCTACCCTTTAAAGATTAATTATGCAAATAACCAACAAAATAAAATGAAATCGCTTAACTGTTCATATAAAGTTGTCAAAATTTCAGTGTTGCAGTAAGAAACATAATTTGTTTATTTATTGAATTTAGTTAAACTTTTGCGTATATGTATTTTAAAAAACTTTATAAAAAAATAGACGGTTCAAATTGTCGTGCAATATTACAAGATGAAAAAGAGATTCGAGAAAGTAAAATAAAAATGTGTAAGAAAATTGCTAACATTTTTTTGAAGAATTACCTTCATTTGCTGATCATGGCCATTGGCGAGCCCCACTGAGCCCTAGCCCCAGTCCCATTCCGAAGCTGGCATTATTAGGCAGAGATCACCATTGCTACTTGAGAGTGATTGGAGTGGATTCCAACGGTTGTATTTTCTCCTTTTTTTATTTTTTTTTAATTTCCTGCACAGGTTTTATTAAGATGAGAAATTTCTAATACCATTTACAGAGTTTGTATTTTTGTTCTGCCATGCTGTTCTTCTGCTTTATGGGCAAAGCCGATGCGGCAAAGTGGCCAAGGTTTGAGAATTACAATGCAGCTACCTACAAGAGAGATAATGCTTATCACATGATTATTGATTGAGTTCTTCAAGTTCGAAAGCAATAATGACGAGTTTGATATGCTAATAAGCGTGCATGCATTTTCGTGGTTCGATTCTAATGTGGGAATGCTGCATTTTGTTGTAATATTTGAGAGCTGGGGTTTCAAATCAAATTTCCAGTAGTACTCTCTAATGCTTTCAATTATACATGTTTTCTTTCAAATTATTGCAGATTTAAGGTTTAAGGCAATAAGTACTCGCATAATTAGCGCATTCATCATAGTAGAAGCTCCAGCTCCGTATCAAAGTCCCGGTTATCACTATCATCGATACCATATCTAACCTGATTAATGTATCACCAGATCTGTTTCTAAAGATTGTTCAGAGTGATTATAATTTGCTTATAACAGTGTACATGAACTAAATTTTTATTTCTTTGGTTTAATGCAGAATATGCAGATTCCACAATGATGTAAAATAATAACCAAATTCAAACGGTCCCTGCCTTACAATCTTCTGTACTTTTGCTATCTGGGTTTGAGATCGAATTGTATTCCAGACAGAATGAACAACTGAATATTCAAGGAAAATTCAGCTGTAGTATAAAGAGTTATATATACCTTTAGGAAATTAGATATTTTAATTTTGGTTTTAAAGATTAAAAACGTGTCATTAGTATTAATGAGAGTAGTACTCTTCTCTCAATTCGTAAGTAAGAGCTCTCATGTTAGACTATTAATGACGAGTTGGATACCTACTATTATGGCTGGGTCTATGAACCAGCTGGGTTTTAAATGGATCTGGAAAGAGTATAAAATCCATTGTATCAGTAAAAATAGTGATTAAGCCGTCTTTATTTGGTATCTTTGTTACAACGATATCGAGAGGGATTTGCATTAATTCACATGTTGAACCAACTGTAATTAGGTATCAAATTCACCATCTACATATTAAAGTCGGACAAACTTAAAACAATATTACTTGATCAGATTGTTAGTGAGTTTTTTTGTTTAAATAAATCAAAGCATAATTAAGTGAAAGAAACATAAATGTATGCAGAGGAGAAACAGAATTCAGTACCTATAATAAAGAAATAACAAACAAATAAGTGATGGAAGCAAAATTGATCTCAACCACTATATAAAAATATCAACACTCTCTCTAGTCAAATTTCCTTTTTTTTAATGGGAGAATTAAGTTTTAATAAGGCAAAGGATACGTTTCTGTATTGAATTGTTTTCTTATCGAAAAGAATACTTCAATTAGAATGAGTGACACGCCCCGACAAGAATCAAGGTATGATAGCCGTCACGTGAATGTGACGTAACCAAAAGTGCAAGTGATGTAAGAAAGATGTGAATAAATTAAAACCGAAACTAGAACTTAATTAACTAATAAGGCGAGTGCACAGTAGTGGTTACAACCCATAACTACAAATATTCAGTGCATAGATAACATAAGGGTAAAACAGTCGAATTAGAGATGTACTTAATACACAATTGGAGATAAGCTCCTACAATATGAATGGGAATATGTCAAAATCACTGGGTAATCCTCGAACGCCACAGAGTAGGTCAGTTATCTAGGACCTGGAGAGGCGAAAAACAGAAGGGTGAGTGCACAAAAATAAAAGGTTTATAAAATTCATTTATTTTCTAAACATACTAACCCCTTGCTGTAAAACAATAAAATATCTCAACGGCAATATGAATAAAATCATGTGCTCAACAATCTATACTAGCAAGCATTCGGAGTCACCTAATATGACCTATACAACTGCACCTATTGCTCATCCATCTATGCTAACACACGAGTCGGAGTCATCTAATGTGATATGTACGACAGGACTAGCACCTACTTGGATCCAAGGCGAGCGTGCGAGGTGAACATCACGTGAAGGACTGACCCTGGCCCGGGGCGAGCACTAACACCGGTGTAGCAATGATGAGCGAACTATATGAATATGAGCATGCCATACAATTCAATCATTCCAAACAACACAATAAACTCACCTGAACTTACCTGCGTTTCCCGTAATATGACTTGGCATTACACAATAGCATAATATTATGAGCAGGTAAAATGCATATGAATATGCCATAATCAAATATAAATCTCAACCACCATGGCATTATTTTAAAAGTAAGTAAAACGTGGCATAACATGCATAAATCAACTTAAAAGCATTTGTGGAAACTATACAATATATATATATATATATATATATATATATGAAAAGAAAATACCCACTCACTGGTATGTCTTAGGATCGTAGCTCCCTAGTCTCGCTTGTCCTGGGGGTAAGTCTCCCCTTATATGCAAAACAACTAAATTAAATTAGTTAATAAGGACATAGACAAAAACTAGGAATAACTCCCCATAGTTTGCTTAAACAGAAGGTTTGAATATACGAAAATGTTCTACTCGAAGTCACGAACCCGTACATAAAAACCACTCACTGGCCGAAGGCTGGACGCGCCCTCACACGCCGCGCAACCCATGGCCACAGGCGTAGGCACGTGCACAGTAGAAGCTGACGGAAATATTCTGTTGAACAGTTAATGGACGTTAACGGCGTTACCTGACGCCGTTTCCGTCAAGTCTGGCGGAATATTCGTCATCTTCTCCGGTGGGTCATCACCGGTCGCGACCATCCGCCACCGTCTGAACTCGTTGGAAACTGGAAATCTTCGTCGGTTTCTGGGTAAAATTTCAAACCTTAATATCTTGCTCATTTCTCAACCATTTTTCACGAAATTTATATGGAAATGAAGCTCGTGAAGAGTAGAACAAAGTTGTACCTTCCAAAAGTCCAAAAGTGGACGGGAAATGGCCTGAAAATGGCCTGAAAATGGCTTGAAAATGGCTCAAAAGCTCAACTCCTTGAACGTGCCTGTTTCGACATCAACGCTTCTCCAAAACTAGTCTAATGGCCACGAGGAGTTGAGTATGAGCTTCCCCACATCCTAAAACCTTGTAACTCGGCCGGGATCACGACGACGCCAACTCGACCGAGTCGGAGCTTCCGAGTCGCTCTGTGTTGACCACTCAAAACTCAACCATTAGAGAATCGGTTGGTATGGTCGTGATCGTGAGGATGAGAGGATCACAATGGTGGTGTTTTTGGACTCGATCTGTGAGTGGTTGTGAAAGTCCAAAAAAACTTCTCTTTTAACGAAAAACTCTTTTTAAAGGTATAGTGAATAGTGCCAGTTAAAGGTAAAAATGTGGTTTTTCGTTAAAAGTGAACAATACCGGAAGTATTTTGTTAAACTCCCTTTTATTTATATATGTTCTATCTTTCTTCCCACACACCACACACCACATGCCATATCTTAATTAGAAACAGACGACATATTGATATTGCACAGCAGAAGAATAAAAGAAAAGCAGGACAAGACAACAATGGAGAACAGAGACATGGTAGCAAACACCAACAATACGACCCCGTTGTTGGACGCAGGTAATCACGAAGGAAGAAAAGAGGGGTGGTGGAATAAGGTGCTGGACTTAGAGGAGGCAAAAAACCAGGTGTTGTTTTCGTTGCCGATGATTCTGA